TCCCCCCCCCCCCGCAGAATATGAGTCTCTATAATAAAGTTCAATGACAGCGGCGGGAAATCTGCTTTCTTAACTCCACAAACCATGAGCAAATGAATAAAACAGTTTTTTTTGTGTGGTAAAACACTGGCACTAACTAAAGACAAAACTATACTGGATTCAAACATTCATTCAATAAATAGTTGATCCAACAATTACTGCTACAGCAAGCTTCTTTAATGATTTAATAATAGTAGTTCAACTTATGCATCGACATGTACATATCCTAATCCCACATCGAGGCACACACACACACACACACACACACATTCTTCCTTAACAGGGTTTCAAATGAGGCACTGAATCTTGTTCGTATGTAGAGTGGAATTAAATATTTTTATCCATTTGCGAATTGCTAATTTTTCTTTTTCAAAAACAGATGCAATGTGTAAAAAGATCATTGTGCTGATAATTTTGATAGAACTTGATGCTTCACTAATTTCAGACTTGGTCAAGACTGCATTCCTATGCTCCCTTTTACATGGGAGTAAGCCTCACTGAGTAATCCTACACATATCTACTCAGAAGTAAATTTCACTAAATTCAAGTGGACATACTCTCAGGTTGATATGTATGGAATTAAAGCCATGAAGTCTTACTGATTCCAGCAGGAGAGAGTTTAAGAACAGTCATACAATAAAAGGGCAGGCCCTTTTTCTAAACTACTTCTGCAATTTACAAGGAATTGCAATCAAATCTTTTGAAAAACACGAAAGGAATACATAAATAAAAAGTCAGTTCCACATGATCAGGCAGCAAATAATTTAACTGTGAAATAAACTTGCTTTTCCGTCAACAATACTGTGAAAGATCAAAACTCTAATGCCTAATATTGGTTTAGTTTTGTTTAGAGTCTCATTTAAAACTATTAAGAGTTATGTACAGTGTGTCAGGAAGCTGGGTTATTGAAATAATAAGGGAGAGAGGCGTGAAGGCTGGGGAGAAAGAAAATACTAATTTTGGAAGGTAGCTAATATGACCCCTGATTGTCTGGGTGTTCATTTTGTGAGCATCCTTATGGTGTACTCAAAGGAGAGGGGTGAAAAGACAATCCCGGAGTAACTGATCAACATATACTTATACATTCAGGCACAGGGGTATTTAATTTATCCACAATATATATCTATGTATTTTTATACTGCCTTCCAGAGCCAAACATCTCTAAAGGCCAGTTAAAGTACTTGATGTCAAAACTGTGACAACTTAAAACATGTACTGTAAAACAATTAAACACCCAACAATATTATAGAGAAAAGGGGCAATTAACATTATTGATTAACAAGCTTTATTAAATAAAAAGCTCTTAACAAAATGAGATCTTTAACATTGGTTCTATTGGAATACGAGAGACTGTTACATTCAAGGTGTTTAAAAGTGTTTTCTGACTTTAACATTATTAACAGGTGTGGTAAGTTTATACAGGTGTAGGAGTTGCTGACATAACTGGTCCCAAATCGTTCAGGGTTTCAGAGACAAACATCAGCAATTTAAATTTGGTACTAGAAATACACTGGGATTAAACATTCTGCTACAGGAAAGATGTTCCATGCTTCAAATGTTTGCAGGAAAAAAATGACTAGCTACATTCTGTACCATCTGAAGCTTCCAAATTACCTTTAAAGGCAGCCCATGCAGAATGTATGAGGATTGTCTAATCTGGGTGTAAATCAGACTTGAATGACAGTGGCTAGGTCTGAAGAATGAGACAGGGTCACAGCTGGCAAATCAGCTGGAGCTGGCAAGAGAAGGTTCTAGAAATGGATGCCATATGTGCCTCTGTAGGCAGTACTGAGTACTGAATCCAAGAGAACCCCAAGACTGTGAACCTGGTTACTCAGGAGTAGCGCAACTCTGTTCAACTCCAGTTGCAGGAACAGTTGCATACTTCAGTCCAGATTGATAGGTTTCACCACTATAGTGTCTCTATCATATCTGGATTGAGTTTCAGTTTGTTTACCCTCATCTTCAACCTCTAGACATCTATTCAGAATTTCTACCTAGGGACTGTAGATGAAAACAAGAGGTAGTGATACATTATATCTGCATAATGATAACCTACATCGCCGGAAGACGTCTTCCAGCACCATCATGTAAGACAGAATGGGACAACCCAGAGTCCAATGCCTATACAGTACGTATTATCTTTGGATCTGTCCCCCCCATCCATAAAAGACTGAATCATTATACTATATATTTATTTAAAACATTTTAATTCTGCCTTTCTCCTTTAAAAAACCCAGGGTAGTTCTTTTCACTATGCCCTTCAGTCCTACTTCAGCTAAGTGGTCCAGGAAGACATCATAGTTAATGACAATGAGATGTATAAAAAACTTGTTCTCCGCATCTATTCGCAGGTGTACATTGGCCACCAAGGCAAATACATCTACTTTAGTCTAAAATGAGCACAGTCTCAAAACATTGGGTACAATTCAACAAATGCCCTCTTAAAATACTCAGTGGTGGCCCCGCAAGGATCAGGCGTTTTCCAGAAGTAAGCAAATAAAATTTAAAGTTGAAACACATTAGACAAGAGATTTGTTTGCTTTCTGCTTTGATGTCTGCCTCCACACCCCTCATTCAAAATCCTGAGGGACTCATAATTTAATAGCCTCAGCTTTTCTTTAGAGGAAATTGGGGAAGACAGCCAGTGCGACTTCAAGAAAGAATGATGTTACAGCTCCTATAATCTTTTGTTTTTCAATTGTATTTTAAATTTAAACAATCAGGATGTGAGCTACCTTAGAAGCTCAGTTTGTAACCATAACTAAGGCTAAAAATGTAAAAATATGAACAAGTCAATAAAATAAGTCCTTGTGAGTTTGCCATGCTGAGCATAACAAGAATACTGTACTAGCATTTTCCCGTCATATTTCTTACAGCACCAGCTCTCCAAAGCAGAGCATTACATTTATATAATACCATTTTAAAGCTGAAAACTCACCGCAGTGCCATTGTTATCTCTAAAAACATCTTGATTAAAATAGTCAAACAGTTTCTTTTCTAATTGTAGCATAACCTGGGGGAGAAAAAAGGAAGCAGAGTTTGAAAGACATTCACTTCCAGCTTGTATTTTTAAACTTCAGTTTTTTTATTTCCTTTAGTCATGGAAACACCCACATGCTTACCAAGAAATCCTGAAAATAAGGATCAATATAACTGACGGATGTTTAGGGTCACATCTATTATTACATGTTTGATAAGAAAGGGTCAGGATAACTTAGAATTGACTTGACAGCACACAGTTATTATTATTATACTGTATTAAATATGAGGTCAGTTATTATTATTATACTGTATTAAATATGAGGTATACTCATGTTAGCATGGCCACTGGTCTGGATTTTGGCCAGATAACCCTCTTTTAAAAATCCTGTCCTCCTATTTGCCCAGAAGGGTCCAAGATGGACTAGATTGGTTTCAAAGGGAGGTTCTTGGAACTGAAGCATGAGAGGAAGGGTACTCTCTGCAGTCATCTGTGTTCTGAAACAAAAGGCCTCAGAAACTATCTCTCCATCATGCCTTGGTTCTGAGGACTCTTCCTTGGAACCAGCATTCAGGAAAAGGAGACGGTGCTGCAGGGAGGCAGCTCTTGATTGAGAGAACAGGGCTCCCACTACTTCATGTTAAGATGGGAGAAGCAGTCTTCAGTCAGCGTCTTTCTCAATTTCCCACTGCATGTGCTGCAAAGAAACTTCAGAGGCTCAGCATAGTTCTAAGTTTGGCTCAAAGCGTTCCCCAGACAGCGAGTTTTTCTATACAGAGGGAATGTTCTATATGGAGGAACGCTGACATATATAAATTCTCACATGCAAAGATAGGTTTACCACTCCAGTGAAAACAAGGTCCTAGATTTGAAGCTGAAAGAGTAGGCTTTGGTGAACAACATCCATGTGGATAGCAGATGCATGTAGTAGATGCAGTAGATGCAGTAGATGCATGTCCATACTGTTCCCTCAGTATGGACATGCATCTACTGCATCCTATTGGGTTCAGTAAGTGCTTCAACCTAGAATTAGTCCACATTAATCAACAAGTTTTTTGTTCCTAGAAACCTAAGAATCTGACCAGAAGGGTAGGAGTGTGATATTTGCTTTTGGTTACATACCTTTCGGTCATTATCAGATTCACGGAATATTAGTTTGACTACTTCATTAGTGTCAGCAGCCCGGACTGTCTGCATTGTAGCCTTTGCACAAAGTGTCTGTCAAAGGAAAACATAAACACACACATACATACAAGCAGGGGAGAGAGAGAGAGGGAGAGAGAGAGAGAGAGAGAGAGAGAAAGTCAGTTTGTTAAAAATATGTTTAAAAGAAGAGAGATAACAATTTTATCTTTTTTTGCTAAAACACGAGTTGTTCAAAACAGTAAAATAAAACATGAATTGATAGATTCTGAATGTCAGCTCGGTTATAAAGAATAATTTTCTCCAGTTTGGACAGCAGTCTGGAATATTCACATTTGTAGATACAGGAAAACTGTTCCTTCATGTCTGTTTGTCCTCTTTTGTTTTCCTACGTTAAATATGGAAAACCCTATACAGTAATCATTTATGTTACCACTATCATTTCCTAACAACACAAGGAAGTTTTCCAGTGCCTTGCTTAGAATCTGCAAAGACAAAGCAGGGAAGGAGAGCCGGCAACTTCTGTTTGCACTACTAGCAGTAAGTCTAAAGTGAGAAGCCATAGATCTCTTCTACAGCCAGATGCATAAGAGAAACCATAAGTCTTGTAGCACCTCTAAGACTAACAAATTTGTATTTTTCATAAGCTGAAGAAGTGTGCTTGGACACACAAAATCTTATGAGAAATACAAACTATTTAGCCTTAGATGTGGTGCATGATTTCTGGTTTCTCTTTTGCTGCCACTAACTAACACAGCTACTAACTAGATTATATTTTCTGCAGTAGCAGAATGCATGCTTTTTAAAAGAGGGCCCAATCCCTGTATCTCCTCAATAAGGGAAATGTACAAAGTTGTGCTTCAGACCTAATACCAGGAATGCAAAAATGGCAGTAAGAGTCTCTTATGCCCTCTCTTCTGTGCTTCAATAATGCCAGAAGTTGACCTTAGGTTTTATCTGGCCTGCAACTGCAGATGTTAATATTGTAAATACTGCTTTTCAGATTACAAGTCTCAGAACTCTCCAACCAACGTGAGGAGTCTAACAGTTGCAATCCAAAAGATAACTTTTCCAATCTCTCTGCACTGGAGTTAATATAATGTTTTCCATTTCACTTACAGAGTCTCATTGCAATAAGATGTGATAACTTTATCCTGATACCAATTGTCTCCTTTCCCCTCCTATCAAACCTAACGGATATAAGAAACTGCCTTATGGCAGGTCAAACTCCCTCTTCCAAAATGCCCTACTAGGATCAATAGTGATTCTCTGAGTGATTCTCTCTCAGATATAATGGTATTCTTCCTACTACCTGCTTCCTCATTCTTTTTTACTGTAGATGGCAGGCATGGAACCTGGGGCTTCCTGCACACAAATCGTGTGAGCTACAAATGCCTCCTTCAAAGAGGGAGGGATTGCAGAATCATACTTGTTTACTACAAAGACATGGGCAGCAACTAAAGGACTCACCCTGATGACTTACTTATTTGTAATTATTTTCTATAGCACTTTTCCTTTTCAAAAAAATCTCAAAAAATACAACAAAAATGTTATGAAAAATGATCAATAATTAAACAATTAAAAGAAGCGAATCCCTTAAAAGCAATTCAGTCAAAACAAGGGGAATCAATGACATCAGTAATCAATAAAATACTCAGAAAAATGCCCAAACAAGCAGAATTACAGTTGATGGCAGGAACATCAAATACTGACAGTCTGCTTAACTTAATAGTGGGACAATGCCATATGTAGTGGGCAAAACAATTAAGAAAGCCTTCCTCCTAATAATACAGGATTTTGAGGTTCAAAGACACAGATGAAAACTGAAACACCATATTTCAAGTCCCAGGTCTGCCGTTACTCATTTTAACAACAACCAGCTAATCAACCTGCCAACTCAGTGGCTGAAATCCTGTTGCTTAGTGTACTATGTTACACCAGACCAGGCCCAGTAAATCAGTGAGCATTTGGTGAGTCAACTCTTCTGTAAGTTCCAGTAATTCACATGGGCAATGTATTTAATTAAACAACACATTTGAGCCAGTGAATTGGGGATACCCTACTATAAGTTTTGTATGCTATTCTAATGCAAATAAAACTATGCCCCCCTCTGGAGAAACAAGTAATTCCAGTTTTATAATTCTGGTATTACACAAAAGAAAAAAAAAGACATTCTCAGTTTGGGGGATGGTGTATGCATCTGAATCTGAAAATAAAACCACTTTGTTTTGGCTTGCTTTACAGAGGAAAGGTGGCGTAAAAATATCTTAAGGAAAACCAATAAACCAATAAATGTGTTAGTTTTCTTTACTTAGAAACAGAGGTTTAAAAAGCTTTGTAGTGCCTCTCAGACTTTTATCTCTAATACCTAGAAATGAAAATTTGCATGGACTTTAAAAAAAACACCTGTCACTTCACAAAAGAATGTCTTCCATATTTTAATGGAGGCCAACTACTAAAATGGTCTTTCCTTTCTGTAAATTCTACATAGTTATACTGTGTTGGTCACGTTACTGAGAACAGAGAAAGCTGATATAATTCAGAGTACTCCTTGCCAGGCGAAGAGGGGGAAAGTGCTACACTAAATCCTTAGAGGCAGCCATTGCCTTTTATTATTTTTTTCCAGTTAAAGCCAGAGCTAATCACTTTTTCCACACATCCTCACAATTTGCCTCGGATCCCATTTTGTCTCTTTTGACAAGTAATTAACATTTTGCCATCTGTGTCTGTATGCAGTTACCAGTGAGGTAATCCACCAGTGAGCCATTCCCAAAGTGCACTGCCCTTCTGATGCCAACCATTGAAATTCAAAGCACAAATTAGCTAATCAGGTCAAGCCCCCAAAAAATAGCCCTTTGGACTCATGTGTCACAAATCAGTCTGGTCCCCTTTAAATAGTGCACCAGATTAGAACAAGCACCCGAACAAACCAAAGCGGAAAACCCGCCACTCTCTAAAGCTGGTTTTCTAAAGCCCTAACAAATCGCTCCATCTTTCACTCATTTAAACTTTCCAAATGAGGGTCAATATGGTCCCCGAGCATCCAAATGCTAATGCGCTTAAGTGCGTTTAAGCAGCTTTCCAGAGTGAATGGGCTGAAGAAGGGCTCGAAAAGACAAGGCAGAATTACTATCACTGTGGAAAAGTCATTGTAGCCACCTCCAGAGTGGTCGCAATTCAAGAAATTCATGATTTCTGTCTCTTAAAGGCATCTGCTTGGGAACATTTCCCCCCCTCCCCCTCAGTTCCTCACAACTGCTTTATATCTTATAACTTCAAATCTGGCCCCAAAATATAAAAGAATAATACTGTATTTTAAAAAAAATTCGTACATTCTTGAGAGCCAAGAAAGAATCCCCAAATATCTTCCTGCTTTCACATTTCACAGAGACAAACATTACCTTATTCACAGACAAAACGTGATTAGGGAAAAGGTTCATTTCTTATACAATCTGGAGCATTCCTATTCCCCACTCCACCTCCTTTCAATTCCTACAAAATCGTAGTCACCCAAGCAGAAAACTTCAGGAAACC